TTTGCTCTTTTTTCTTTACCTTGCCAAGATCAGCAGTAGACATGGTGATACAGTACAATTGACTTGTCTTGGTGCTGCAAACAAGAGTTTCCTCTGATGGGCTCACGGTAAGATTGACTATCTCTTGATTCTCTGATAGTTGTGGGTCTGGACTCTGTGTGTCTACAGGAATCTTTATCTCTCTGGCTTTCTTGTAGAAGTCTTTTTCTTCAGTTTTCTCAAAGAGGTGTACTGTCCCTGCTCCCCCTGAACAGATGAAACCTTTTGAAAATGCAATGATGCATGTCACTTGCGGGAGAGCATCTTGGCTTACACCACTTTCAGGTACACTGGCCATACTTTGCCTGAAAAAAATATGACAGTTTGTCATATTAGGGCATTGGAACACACTATAAACCACAGTATTATACTGACACACAGGGCATTAGAATACAAAAGGAAAGCCAAGCAACAAAATGGCTACTGTAAAGAATAAGAAAGATGGTAAGTTTTGAGCTCAGTGAAGAAATATAGAAAATTTAAGATGTTTTCTGTCTTTGTCACGCGCATGGGACCAAGAAAAAATTCTGAGTCCCCATGAGGAAATGAACCTCAGACCTTTGGTGAGCAAGGCCCATTACAAAGTTCACATTTGACATGCATCCAGACAGAAGTCAGAAAACATCCTTCTATAAAGGGGCTACTGTGAACAATCCAAACTTTTTTTTCTAGGCTTCATTTTTTAAATAAAGAACCCTTAAGTGCAACAGATTTTGTTGTTGGCCATAGTTGTTGCTTTTGTCTCTAATGCATGCATATGCAATTGATACAAAGTGTTATATTATTAAAACACGATCTGTGCAATAGGCAATTTCCAAATTACTTTTGGCCTCTTTTTCAAAACGAGGCCTGGTGCGCTCAACCATTCTTGTGAAAATGAGTTTAATTTGCATTTGAATGAAAACTTATAATCATATGTAAGGATGAGCACCAGGACTCGTTTTGAAAATGAGGCCAAGGGTAATTCGGAAATGGGCTATTAAAATACTTCATGCAAAGAACTCTCTTAATGACATGCTGCAAACTTGGAATCTGCATAATTTAAGTTTAAATAGTTTTGTGTACATCTTTGTATTATATTCTTAAGAAACATATACTTTCCTCTCACAGCACCGGCCCTCTTCAGTCAGGGGTCCCAATGGGTTATGGTTCAGAGGACAAGAAAATAACACTGACCAGAACAAGGGTTCAAACCTTAAACTTTAGCTCTTTTGTACTCTCTTGACATCAACAAGCAATTCATACCTTGTGGGAGCAGAAGTACTTGCCACACCACCACCAACATGAAATTCACTCTTCAGTTCCCCAGATTCAAACAACAGAAGCCTTCCAGTGTCTGTCCCAGCAATGATTCTTTCATCTGAAACCCATGCCTGGCACAGGAAATTTTGTGGCTCCATTTTCTGGAAAGCAAACTGTTTTAGATTGCCTTCACTGTAACGAAACAACTTGAAGATTCCATTCCCTACCACACAAAGCTGAGTGTTATCCTGAGGATTAAATGTCACCTACAAAGAAAAAACAACAACAACAACAACAACAGCTAAAGTGAGATTACAAAGGTTTATATTACAATGCAAACAATTCAAAACTACATGTTACCTGAAGGAAGATTTTTAGTATAAATTCCCCCTTTATACCCTAACATCAGTATGCAATTTCTCCATACTGTTCCCTACACATTTCAGGGCTTGACACTAATGGTAGCCAACTAGTCACAGACTAGTAGAAATTCAGTTTTAGCTAGTGGTTTTGGATTTCCACCAGCCAGTTTGGCTAATAAACAAACTGAAATTGTTGCGACATCTGAGTTGTCACTAGCCACTTGGCTACTAAGTTGAAAAGTTAGTCAAGCCCTGCATTTCCTATCATAATGGTATATACAGGGGGAATTTGTTTAACAATCAAGAGCTTCTTGAGTTTGTGATTAATTTTCTTTATTTTCATGATCTTGTTGTTTGGTTAAGGGGTAAAAGCCTAGGGAGAAAATAGACGCTTATCTCACTAAGGTGCTAAATGGTAAATTCATCACGAGTATGTGGAGGCGCGGTGGCCTCATGGTTGGTGCGCTCAACTCCTGATCGAGTGATCCAGGTTTGAGCCCCGGCTGGGGACATTGTGTTGTGTTCTTAGGCAAGACACTTTACTCTCACATTGCCTCTTTTCACCCAGGTGTTTAAATGGGTACCGGCAAATTTCATGCTGGGGGGTAACCTTGCGATGGGCTGGCATCCCATCCAGGGGGGTGTAGAAATACTCCCAGTCGCTTCATGCTACAGAAACCGGAGATAAGTGCCATCCTGATGGGCCACTGCCTCATAAAAAGACTTTACTATGGGGCATAAAATATAAAAATAAACAGAATTTCCTCATTGGGCTACATTAAGTTGGTCATTTGAAATACATTGAAGTACTCCTCATCCCTAATCAATTCCCACAGCTGTAGTTCTTGGTGGATCATTTAACCTTTAAGTCCCAAGATCTACCTAGAATTTCTCCTTACTGACTGCCATACAAATCCTTTTAAATTAGACAGGAGGATTTTGTGTTATAACAATAAATCATCCTCTTGCTGATAAGCTTGTCTTTTCCCTTTACTTGTTTGCAAGGTAACATGTTGGAATTCCAGGGAGAAGTTACAAGTTAATCACTTTTAGAACTCATTTTGGTGGTTTCTAATTATGAAACTACAACTCATATTTTCTATTTTCTCTTACATTAAGGGTACTATAGTGTTACTCTGTACACAAAAGAAAATCATTGAAATATCGTAGTTCCTCAAGGTATAAAATCATGCCAATGGTAAAGGATACTTAAAATTTCAATATTTTAACAATGAGCCAAATAGAGAAAATAAGTGATAAACAAGTAACTTCTCCATTTAATATCCATACATGACCCAGCAAACAGGTAATGAGAATTCTCAAACTTATCAGGTAGAAGTTATTATCTTGATATAGCACAAAATTCTCGTAACTAATTTACAAGGAAGTGTGTAGCAGCTAGACGAGAGAATTAGTGATGAGTTCTTGGGAGCTAAAGGGTCAATTCACCTTATCTTGGTTCATTCAGGATACGTGTGCTGCTGAAGGTAGAATCATGTTTTACCTAATTTTAAGCACTTTTGTAAAAGAGGATAAAATGTACAGTACAGTGAAAACACTGGAGGCATTTTTTCTTAGTTGATATCCTTATGTATCTATAAATAACTATTTTTGGGTACAATACTCAACTTATAATATTATGAGAAATACATACAATGAAATCGTTCATAAACATTTTATGTATCGGGACTCATGCTATTGTCAACTTATTGACAAGGTGTCTGTTTACTTTTTGGTATCTTATTCAGTACCTCGGCAAACAGTCAAACTGATTTGGTTATCTTTACTCGTCTACCTCATTTCAGTCAACCAGAGATGAAAGGGAAAGAGAGAGCATTTTGACAAGATTTAATTGTTGCTACAACCAAGCAAGTTCTAAATTAAATTTTGAGATTCGTATCAACACGTTTTAACAGGAGCGCAGTTTACTTATCCGCCGAATCAGAAGAAAGATAGATGTTACGTCTTAAAAGAGGATGCCACAACTATTATTTACCTGATAAACCGGCGAGTTCATCTGATTGGTAGATTTTGTAACAGCCATCACTTTAGCCTTCTCCCAGGTCCAATAAAGCAATGTCCAGTCGGGTCTTCCCCCTTGAGACACAAGATACTTAGAATCCGGTGAGAAGGCCAAGCTGACAAATTCGTTGGACTGAACCTCTGTAGAGCTGAGCACTTTCTTCTTTCTCAACGTGTTCAGATCGTAGATGGTTACCGTAGCTTTCTCCCCTTTCTCCGCTATGGCGACGTACCTTCGATTGGGACTGACTGCCATGGATGTCATTCCGGCGCTTTTATCTGTGCCAGGAATGAACCGTTGTGATTTCTGGTCAATGTTGAACAAAATGCAGTTCGATCCAGACGGGTAAATGATCGTTTGTTCATCCAGGTAGCAAATATTATCGGCAACATCGGCCTTGAGGCCAAAGCAATGTCGCGGGGTAGCTACTGCGATCGACATTGTTGATGTGAGATTTAGGTTACGCTCGTAATTTAAGCAGATAAATCCAAATCAAACTCCTGCAACGTTTTAAAATGACGTTCGGAGCTACGTTGACCCTTTAAAGGTAAGTCAGCGACTTCAGATGTCGTTAAAAGGCATAAAATGCAGCAGTAAACGGCCCTGCATACAAAACATGGTTTCTAGTGAAGTTTATTTCGTTGCCAAGGACAGCTGCTAAAAGGGGCGGATACCAAGTCCTTCACCATGATACCGCTGGTCACTTTTGCAGGGGAGACGATTAAAATCGGGAAACCTCCGAGATCCCAGAAAAAAATTCAAATCGGCAGAAAGAAAAAAATTAAGTTATAGATTGGTCTAGGCCGGGCTGAATGGGAATAAACTATGCCTTTGCTCTAGAGTACGGCCGAGATTCGAGTTGGCGAGCGAAGCGATTGTCGAGAGGTGTGCGCGCCAGAACTCTCCGTTTCACCTTAACTTTTCTCGATCGCTCGCAACGCTTGCCAGTTGGAATTTCGCAGCTTTATTGCTCCCGTCGTAACGCCAAACAGAGTCTGCTAGCAGGCTATTTTAAATTCTTGTGAGAAACCACCCTTAAGGGACAAAAGAAAAGCAGTTGTAGGAGTTGTCCCTCGTCGGAATGCCGAAGTCAAAGCAACAGACTTTGAGTGGGAATTTTGAAAACTGAAACTGAAGGTTTCACAAGAAAGCTACCAGAGAAGATTATTGCACACGCAGATGATTGTTCTGCTGTATAAAATTTTAATAAAGCTATCTTAAAACGCTCAACCAAGTAACGAAACACAATGAGGGCTGCTCCCGGTAGCCGTAAAACGGCCAAAATTTTAACCGTCAGACATAAAAGCCATCAACCCAATGAATACCCTCCACAATAGCGGCTCACTGTTTTAATACCCACTGATAGCACGACAGTTTTTCGCTACCTTGGAGAACATTTTTCTGAGTTTAGTGTTGGTCCCATTCTCAATGCTAACTTGTTCCAAATCTCCAGATTCTACTTTTCGCTGGAGATGTCTTATTTTCTTTCGTTCTGCGCGTGAACTTGCACCAAGTAAGGTCTCTACAACGTTGGTAAATGTTCCACTCCTAACCGATCAGCAATTTGATCCTATAAAAAAACAAAACCAACACATCTAAATTTTTAATACTATGCATTATTAAGACATTTTAATCTTTATTAGCGACCCCAAAAATGTGTAAACTCCTTTCTCGTGCTAACCAATATAGGAAATTAGCAAGAGCTGTGAAAAACGAGTGTTTTTAATCGGAGTTTTGTTAGAAGCGAAAATCTTCGAAGTCAAACTTGCGGTAAAACGTTTAAAACTTGTACAGGCTCAAGTGAGATATATAATTATCTTTTCCAAAGTCGTCTCTATGGTCTTTCTTCTTCCTACCACCGCCAACGGTGAGCTCTTATGGGCGGAAAGTCAACCTCGTTCCGAAGGCCTTTCCCACCCCACCCCCAAGGAAGGGAAAAGGTCCTGAAAATGAGGTTGGGCGGAAGGTGTGAAAGACGACTTCCTTGTTCATTTTCTTTAACCCACTTCATCTCAATATCAGCATGCATATTCTCCTCACTGTTCTCTGTAAATTTCCTTTGGTAGAGAGAATATGATTAACAATCACAAGCTCCTTCAGTTGGCGATCTGTTCCGCTCTTCTCAAAACCTAAATGTTTAATTCAGTGGTCACGCTGTTAGGAGGAATTGGATGTTTTTTCTCCTATAGGTAAAAGGGTTAAATACTAGAAATCTAACACTACAAACCATATATTGCAATAGGTTAACGTGATAATGGATGGCACCGTCTCGACGAACTTTACGCATGTGTTCTCTTTCAGGATCGCCAGCAACAAGTACCGCGGTCTCACCTTCAGCCTGGTAAAAAAACAAACACGGATAAAAAAAAATCGAGGGACAACAAGTGCGCTTATGCTGCAGTAGGTGGTCATATTTGTCCGTCTGAGTTACTCTTTGTCTCTTCAACACCCCAGACTTTGCCCGTCCATCTGGCTGTCTGCTTGTCTGTCTATCTATCTTTTGAAATCTACCTCTCTTTGTTGCACCCGTCTCACTGTCTATGCGCGAGTTTTCCAGTCAGTCTGTGTCTTTGCTGGTTTAATTTTTGTCCGTCCACAAAATGGTCTCAGTTTGTCTTCCTGCACTGTTTATCTTTTAGCATTGACTTACTATCCCACTATTAAGAGACTCACTGTCTGTCTGCTTATCAGTCTGTCTGACTGACTGACTGACCAGCTGACGTCTGTATGTCGTTTTTTTGTTTACTTCTTCAGTTCATAATTTTCAATATCACATATTGCATCTCAGTTTTCGTCTTGTCTTCAGTATTGTCTGTTTATCCGTTTGTATATCAGTATGTACGTCTGACGTATGTATGCACTGGCGGATCCAGGGGGAGGGTCCGGGGGATCCGGACCCCTCCCCCCCCTATCAGACCTGACGCTTACAACCTTAAGACTGAAATTCTTACATCGACAGGATCGTATATCACTTTTTAACTGGCTGATTTTTTTAATTAATGAATCTAAGTAAACGTTAAGCGGCCAAGGAATCATAACGTGCAACCGCGACTGGTGGGAGAGGGTGTGGGGGGTGTTGGGGAGAAGTAATTTGCCTCAAAAGAGTCCAACAGTCCTTTCTGAACCAAAGTCTGGACCCCCCCAATCAAAAATTCCTGGATCCACCCCTGGTATGTATGTATGTACGTACGTACGTACGAACATATGTATGTATGTATGTATATATTGTGGGAGGAAAAAGACAAGTAAACTACAAGTTCATCCCTACAAGCCTGTTTCGTGGTCGCCCACTTATCAGGGGATTTATGTATGTATGTATGTTAACATGTCTGTGTGCCTCTTTGTCTACTTCACTTGGTCTGTCTGTCTGGCTGTCGTTCCGTCAGTCTCTGTGACGGTCTGTATGTCCATGTGCATGTCTGTCTGTATGTATGATAAACCCCTCCATGGTGTGTTGCTTTTTATTCAATCTCCTTCCTTTTATGCCTGTCAATATTACATATCGCATACAGACCGGTTCTAAATTTCTGTACTGATCCATCAAAGATTGCATTCGATCCTCAAATCCGTCGGCATAAACCTCAGGATTTATTGCCACAAAACATTGACCCTGACGTAGAAAAGGAAACACATGTTAACCCTCAGTTGAGAGCTTCATTTTGAATAATAAGCCAAGGGCCAACTGAAATCAATTTCAAGTTCATTGTTACCAAATTTTGCACTCGTTTCTCTTCTCCTTGCCAGCGTTTGATGTTTGTCCCAAATTCAGATCCCGATAAAATCCCACAGAACATATCGACCATCATGGCTAATCCAAAACCTTTATAACCACCTGGAAATTGAAATACAAGTAAGAAATGCATGCACAATGGAAAATGTGTCACCCATTACTCATACATCGTCGATAAAAAGAGATGCATGAAGAAAAGACGGAACACGTTATAACCGCGATTTGCTGGAGAGCGGCGCGGCGCCGGACGGGAAATGCTTTTTCTACTCATTTGATCCCGAAAAGGAAAGAGGTTGGACTAAGACGCAGAGCCTTACAGGGGGCTTGGTCGCCTATTTTAAGTCGCTTTCTTGAGACTTTTTACTACTGAATGACCTACTAGAGGGATAACCTAGAAAATATTAATTTAATAAGATAGATAAAAACAAAAATGGTACAGGTAAAGCTACATGTAATTTTCAGTGACAAATTTAAAAAACGAAGGTCTGATTTTTTTCGGATTTGCAAAAGGTGACGCAATTTTTTTCAGTACCAAGACAAAATATTACAATAATGATAGACCAGTAAGAATTTAAAGCCTGAGTGGTTCCCTCGTAACCTAAGTTGTGGCAACTTATGAGCGTTATCAAAAGAAGAATAGAACTCAGACTTTACTGTTTAAAACTGGCGAGAGAAATGTAACGTTTGAGATACACCTGTAATTTCCTTTCCTCCCAGAGGTAATAATCCACCTTCTTTTATAGCCTCCACAGGATCAACAGTTTCCTAAAGAATAGAAAGACGTTTGATTTTCAACTCCGTAACTTGATGGACTATCATAGGAAACGTATAAGAAAGTCACGTTTAAGCTTTTAGCTTGTTAATGAGACAGAGAACAGCGCGACGTCTTTGGAGGAACTCCCTTATTTGGGGATGACTCCCTTAGCTGTTGTTTACGGGTATGTTCCGCCAAACAGCATATAGGTGCGAATTTCGCCACCTTTCGAGCGTAGGTCCATTTTCCGCATGGCAGGTGGTTGTCGAGCCATGATGGTTGTCAAGCCGTGTAATTTATGTGTATTGAATTTTAAATACAATTTGGCTATTTAACGTCTTCAACAGGGTATTTCTCCAGACCTGATGTCTTGAATACGGGAGACAAGAGACCACGCCCTCTCTAAAGGGCGAGTACAATATACGTTGATTGTGTCTAAGAAAGCAAAGTTTGAAAGCTCTTGGAAAGTCATATTCCATCAAAATAGTTTTATCACGTGATCCCTTACCAATCCTCTTGAGTCGACACCCCAACCCTGTGGCATTTTAGTTCCTTTTATACGACAAATCTCAAGCTGAAACGAGACAACAGCAAGAAATGAATTGAGATTCAGTTAATCACACGCCTTGAAAAAAGTTTATAATCACCAACCAGACTAATCTTTAACCTCTGTCTCTGCTTCCGTCCATGTGTCCACTTGGTCTGCTTGCTATCGGTGCGTCCGTTTTTCCTGTCTCTTTTTGTCTATCGTCTATCTGTCTGTCTGCCTGTCTCTCTATCTGTCTGTCTGTCTTCTCTATCTGTCTATCTGTCTGCTCGTCTGTTTGTACGTCTATCTACCCGTCTACCAGTCTGTCTATCTGTCTGTCTGTTTGCTCGTCCCTTTTAGTGACCTTTACCTTGCCATATGCCGCTGCTGACGTGGCCATGTCCAGGAGAAAACTGTCCCCGTCCCTCCCCGGGGCGGCAACTGAGAACGGGTTTGTTCCAATGGATGGCTTTAAAGAGAATTAACAAAGACTGATTCACCACGCGTGAGAAGTAACGAAAGAAAAAGTTAACTAATTCATACTCACGTTTCACTTAATGGCCTGCTTAGGGGATTCGCTATGATTGTCATTTTGCGATTCTTATAAGAGGTTACCTTAGCTGCCCTCGTTGGTACCACCACAGGGGAACCGTTTGTCATGCTCATACCCTGAGAAGTAAATAAAGTAGAACAACTCTCGCTGACCTCAATAACTTTTTGAAGTTTTAACAAACGTTGGTGTGCTCTTAACAATTAGAGCGATTTGCAATTGAGTGTCGAAAGTAAATCCGGCACTGCTTTGGTTTTACTTAACCTTGCTCTGCAATTGGTTCAGAAAACTTCCGCCATCATCAACCAATCAGATGCAAAACCTAATAAAAAAAAAAAAAAAATGCGACGCAGTGGTTATTCGCGTTTTCGCGCGCTTCAAGCATGTTCACTTACTTTCATTTAATATCTTCTTAGCTATTGATGATGCAAATCTTTCTTCTGATTGGTGGCTGGGATTACTTTTGTTTTTGATTTTCGAGACTCCATTGAAAACTACTCTAATGTCTATTATTAACGTCTTACTATCATTCCATGTTGTAGAGCTTGACCGCTGTACCACGCTGCGATACCAAAATGTGTTGAGCCTAAAAATAGTATCAAAATAAAATTTTCAGTCCTGAAGATGATCTAGACACGATCTACACATTAGGGGAGGATCTAGGGGAAGGGCTGCGGGTGCATTCCCCCCTTCCCGCCCCCCCCCAGATGATTAGTGGCTTTTTTATATAACTTCACGACTTTACAAAATTTGCTTTATCGTTTGTCATGTATTCTTAGTAGTTCGCGTGATCTTATTCTCTAGTTATAAGCCTTCGTCTTCGTTGTTCGCTTCTAACGTTTGCTTACGTCACCCTTCAGTAAGCATTCTAAAATGCTCCCCCCCCTCCCCTGAACAAAATCCTGGATTCGCTCCTGAACGTGTATTAACAGAGAGAATTTCTAGTATAATTTCATTCCCTTTCACGGCTACGTCGCTGAAGGACTCCCACAGAACCCCCAAATGCGCACAAATTTTAGGAGCATGAATAGTTGAGTGCGTGACACCAAGTGTGCTGGGTGTACCATATCTCTGAAGAGGTACTGTAAGCCACTTCAAGTCACAATTCAGTGATGGCTATCTGAAATAAAAGAATACGTTACCTTTACATGCAATCCAGCCAATTCCGTATTCTTTAGCTTTCTTTATGGCTAAATCCATGCAAAAGTTACCAACAACCTATTTAAAGACAAAAGAGAGTGAATCGAAACTAATGTGCATGCATGTCACGCATGATCCTCTGGCATTGCGTGACGAGACTAAAAACGATGAATGTGACTTACGAAGAAAATAAATGTCCTTCCGAGCCGAACCAAACTGAACTGATTTAACTACAGTGGAATCCCAATTTCTCAAACCCTCGGTTTCTCGAACCTCCCGATATCTCGAACCAAACCTTGTTTCCCTTGGATTTGCTTCACTTGTAGTTTCACCCCCGATTTCTCGAACTCCCGAGTTCTCCAACCAATATGCGTTTCCCCTGCAGGTTCGAGAAATCGGGATTCCACTGTACTGATGAAATTTAATAATTTCTTAAATTACTGAGTTTACTTGAACTACCAGTGGTATGTAGCTTTCATACGGCTAGCACAGACAAGTAAGACTGCAGAGCGCCAAAATGATCTTAGGCAGAGGATTCAGGATCCAGTTAAGTTGATTGATTATAGTTCAGTAGGTAAAACGAAGCTCGATGATAAACGGCGCGATAGTTGCAGAGGAGTGCGGCGGAATGGACGCGGCATGACCCAAGCCTCTTTCGTCTTTTGGCAAGGATTTCGCACCCGTTTTACTTGCTAAACGCTTGGAACAGGCCAGTTTTGAATAAGTCAGATCACCTCAAATATACGACAGAACTAACACAAACTCATTTTGATTCTCTGCAACTGCTGGTAAGGACTAATAAGATGAGAACGTCGAGACGGTATGGAGAAAAAAATCGTTTAAAAATTGGCCGACAGAGACCACGTAAACGATTACCAGAATTCACCCTTGAACCCCTTAAAGTGACTAACATGTAATTTCTCCTTACAATATCACCCCTGAATCACACATTAAGGTCAGGAGAATAAAGGAAATGATCACCAATTAAAGAAGCTCTTGACTGTTTTAAGGGTGCAAAGAGTTAAATTGAGATGGCAAAAATATTTAAAATTCATACCGGACCAAGAAGATTGTTTCCATCAACCAGTGCGGTAGCTGCAAAGTCCTTTTCAATTCTTGGTTCACCCTTCGCTTGCGTGACGCCATTCGTAATGTCACGAACGTAGATTTCTTGAAATGGAATTATAGTGTAACGTAGAGTTCAAATAATGTTAGCATTATCAAATAAATCGATTAAATAAATCGATTAATTTCTCGAAGATAGTAGCTGATTTTATATAGCTGATCTGAAATTCGAGAATAAATAAAAGTTATGTACGTATTTAGCGAACGGCCTGGGTACGATTTTATGGAAGTTGTAAACCGATTCACACATGCCTTCAGATTTGTTCGACATCAGGATTGACATAAAGTCACGCAAGAAGATTTTGTCTCCAAATTACTCATCACAAGGACCTAGAATGATTTTTAACCATCTCTTGATCATAGAGGCTAGGGTAATACGTGGGGAACATTGTTAAGGGGCAGTTTACACCAGTGTTTTTCTCACATATTCCAAATATGAAGTCTGCGAGATCGACGAGTCAAAATGAAAACATTACCGATGAAACAAGGGAAAGTGATTTTGTTCTATTACATTTTTCCAAACATGTTTCCTTCGATCGAACTTCTTTCCTGTCATTTCCAAGCCTTGTAGCAACAGATTAATTCTAAAATATTTAGACTAACTAATTAATACTACTGATCTTTCACCTAATCTGTTTAACCCGTGAGTGAAGTGTCCCCTGGCATCGGCCTCTGTGAGTACTTGAGAAAGAGCAGCACTGTGCTTTGGATCTGTTCCCACTGATGCCATACACCGCTCAACGAACGAGCGCACCTCAGCGACTAATACCCGCCTATACATTTTTGATGTACACTTCGTCGACCTCCACTTGAAAATGTAATAACTTAAAATCATGCGCGAAACAAAACAAATACGCTTACGTGACACGTTCAGCTGTTTCTTGTCATGGTCATCACTCGTTGCGTGACTTGCGTCGCGGAATGTAATGAAGGGCTCATGCTCGAAACGTCAGTCTTACAAACTCCTTACAGTGCCAAATTACACTATCAACTCAGTTAACAAAGCAAAATCATGATAAAATTATTTTGAAAAGAAATATGGTTTGTTGAGTTTTTATTATATCTTTTTGTCTGTTTTTTTTTTTGTTTTGTTTTGTTTTGTTTTTTCTTGCGGCAAAGGAACTGTGAAACAGTGGACTGCCGGGATAATAAACCCTTCGTGACCCTTTCACGTAACCCATAGAGGAAGAAATAAGCGTCTAATTTCTCCTGGATCAAACATTAAGGTCGTAAGAGTAAAAGAAACGATCGAGAATTCAAGAAGCCCTTGAGTAAAACACAATTTCTCCTTGTGAGTGCCCTAAGATTTGAATGGAGAACAGGACAGAGAGTATGCATACTAAAGGTGGTTAAAGACCTCTTCCAGAAGTAAAAGACAGAGATAACGGTTAGGATGGGCTTTGGAGATTACATTGGGCTCTTCCCTCCAAGAAAATGGGTTTTTTTTGTGAGTGTGCAAATTCACTGTATCTTAACTACGGGGAGGGAATAAATTCATGGGCCTAATCTAGTTTTTGATTATCAAATTAACGACCAGAAGAACGTAAAGCTACAAAAGATGTGAATTTTGTTCATCGTGGCTATACCTTGTATGAATTTTCGGTCAAAAAGATAACATCGACAGTGGAAGCACTCAGCTCTCAGATGCCGTTTGTTTAAAGATAAACAGTTATTATCACTGGTACATCGTTGCATCGCGTCCGTTGTATAGCCTGCATAACAGCGGCTTATATTTAGCCGAGTGCGAAGCGGGAGACATCAAGCGCGAAGTGCGAGGCACGAGCGTTGGGCGAAAAAACGAAGTATCAGAACTATGTCTTAAAAAAAAAAATGGGTGCTGGCAAAAGATGCAGGAGAGCCCAATGCGAAAAGTGGCATTAGAATATTTCCAACTGGTCAGAATTCGATATTGTCTCTTTACACTTTATTGTACACTATAATAGTTAATTAGATTTATTGTAATTTTATTAAAATTTAAATTTCTTATCAGAGTTTTTAATCAGAATTTGGGATACTTATCCCGTTCGCGCTATCTCTTTTGGTCTTTTTATTTCTACCAGTGATTTACTATACATGTATCTTACTTATGAGACCAATTAAGTTGATAAACTAAACTAAAGTAAACCAAGCCATCCAAGACCATGAACTCTGGAAAGATTTGAGTCGTGTGTGCGTGCGGAGGTAGTGTTGTACGATAACAGTCATGGTCTAAGATGGTTTCTATGCCAAACAGTCAGTGGCGCACAAAGAAAAGACGAGGTGATATAGGTCTGTCTGATTTGCCAATAGTCAGTCAATGAATTTTTATTTTATATTAGATTTCTATTATATTTGTTTCATATTTATTTTTATCAGGTAAGACCTTTATTGCCTCAATAGGTAGGCTACGCCTAATCTGTCAGCAATTTTATCCTGCAAACAACAAAATCAGCAATTGTCACGTAAATAACCATAATTATTTTATCATGGATGTAAGAAGGCAGTTTGCGGCCACGATTAGAGGGAGGTCAAACAAGCCACTTTAACCATTTTAACACTAAGAGTGACTAGCATCTAGTTTCTCCTATAATATTACCCCTGAATCAAACATCAAGATTACAAGAATCAAGGAAATGATCGCTAACTAAAGAAGGTCTCGATTGTTATTCAAATTCTCCGTGTTAACACCATAGGAAATGTATAGAGAACAAGATGGAGAATATGCATACTAATGTCAGGGTATAAATATCAAGAATGGTTAACATAGTAGGTAGTTTGTGTATGGGACCTCCATTTCTGGGTCCTTTGTTCTCAACAATTCCTTTACGATGTCTTGATAAGGGGATTGATATGCTGGAGAGCGAGGAAGTGTCACGGGGAAGTGCCACGCCCGCCCCGCCAGGAGAGAATCTCGCGTCCACAGGGAGAGAGTCCCAAGTTCGCTGCAGAGAGTCACACCCTTGTGGCTGTCTGCGGGTTCTTACGCAGTAAAAATTTTCAAACTTATCAACGAACTAACCATGGATTTCAGCACATTTTCGTGGTAATGAATGCCCCCATCTTGACCAACTTTTCGCATGTGTTCTCTTTCAGGATCTCCAGCCACGAAAACCGCGGTCTCACCTTCTGCCTAGAGACCACAAATACAGAAGGGATTTTTTCTTAAAAAATTCAAAGTAAATCGTTGTCTCTGTCAGTCTTTCTATCTATGTGCATGCCTATCCGTCCGTCTTTCTTCCTATAATTTCTTTTTTTTTTTGTTTGCGAATTAATCTGTCTGTGTTCGTTTGCTCCTTTATCTATAACTCATACAACCATCCATCGCATACTAACCGGTTCTAAATTTCTGTACTGATCCATCGAAGCTTGCATACGATCCTCAAATCCGTCAGTATATACTTTAGGATTAACTGCTATGAAACAATGACCCTGTAAAACAATAACAGATGGTAATATTTCCATTTCCCCATGCCAATTAAATGAGAATGAAACAGCTGAAATCATTTTGTTACCAAATTATGTATTCTCTCTTCTTGTCCCTTCCAGCGTTTGATGTCTGTTCCAAAAGCAGATCCCGATAAAATCCCACAAAAGACATCCACCATCATGGCTAATCCAAAACCCTTGTAACCACCTG